CCTCGAAGTTCGTCAAAAATACTCCGCTGCGCGTCGTATTTTCAACTCTCTTCTCGGTGTTTCATCTGGTGATGAAACACTGCATCTCATGTTTGATATATTACTTCAACGTAATCTTTTCAATCACTTATCAAATGCAGCGCTCCCCTTTCAGTTTTATGAAATCGGACTTCAAAGAAGACGTCTGTTTTGTTAATCACTTGAAAGTCGCATTCAACTCTCTTTATTAGAAAAATATCTTATAGTAATTCAGATGCGCAAAAAGGCAATAAAAAATGATGAAGATTTAATTCTAGCCCAATCAGCTCTGAAAGTGTAAGCCGTCAAAAACACTACCGTACTGGACATGAAGTATCGACTCAACCATAACCAGATCCGTGTATAGAGTAGATTCACTCTTGTTACACGCTGTCGACCGTGCTTCAGACTGTGAGATTTCCTCAACTAAAAAAAGAGATGAAAGTCAGTAACTCTGCACCAAGAGCCATAATGGCTCTTGTCTACACTTAATCTATCAATTAGTTGCCGTGGCAGAGAAGAAAAGTGTGTTATGGTGAACACTCTCGCTAGTTTGTTTTCCATCGCCCTGAACTTAGGATCATCTTGATGAACGTATTGGTGATCGTCGCGATAAAAACAAGACGTAGATTACAGTCCACATACAACATGCTGCTGGCTTGTTTGGCAGGAACAGATCTGGCGGTGGGTGTAGTTTCACAGCCATTATTCATCGCACAAGAAATCTACTTTCTGTCGGGTGCATCGCTGGTGCATTATTGTTACTTCCTCAAACATATATTTTACGTTATTTTTATTCCATGTCTTGAATCGTTGCTGATTTTAGTAGTAATGAGTATTGAGCGTTACATAGCCATGAAGTATTCACTTAAATATGCTAACATCGTGACCACACCTAGGTTAATTGGGGTTGTAATTTGTAGTTGGCTTTAGTCAGCCATTTATTATATTTCCTTGATAATTCCAGCGCCAAGTTCCACGTATTCGGGACTTATTGTTTATGTTATAGTTAGTATAGCCATTTTTATAATTGTGTTTTGTCGTACAACAGTGTATTTTGTTTCACACCGACATATGAACCAGATCAAAACTCAACATCTTTCCAGCGAAACGACATCAAATTTCCTAGAGGAAAGAAAAGCCTTGAAAACCACCAGCTTAATTCTGGTTTCTCTGTTTCTTTCATATGTACAAGGAATTTTAGACGGGTTGTTTAGATTTGTCGGGGTCCTTCACAAGAGTTATTCTAAAGCTCAGATACGTTTGTTGGCTATTGCGTTTTTGTGTATCTTTTGAGCTCTCTCTTTAACCCGCTTATATTTTGCTGGAGGAACAAAGACCTACGTAAAGTCATGCTGGAACGGATCAAGATCAGACAAAATGGAAACGCTCGCTAAATATATTACAGTTAGCGACGATTTACCGGAAACTGTTTGTGCATGGTCCGCATAGTCTGCAAAAATACCCTTTTTTGAAAGTAAGGCCGTGTGTTCCTTTCGGCGATTCCAAAAACGGATTTTTGATCCTAGAGTTGCCGAAACTGGATTTGTAATCTTTGTAACCTTTCGCAAAAGCGTACAATATGTATGACACCCTCAAAAGAAATGACGTGTTTAATTTCTACTGTTTGACAAATTATGCGTTTATACGGTGCAGAATTTTGTGGTCGACAATTCGAATAGCGACGATGGAACATAAACAGATCAAGAAAGAAGCGCGTTAAAGATGAAAATTGTCTAAAGCCGTTGTCGGCTCTGTTTCGTAGCACAGATTCTTTTATGTAACACGATCGAGTGCCTATCACGTCTACAAGCGAGTTTGCAGAAAGATAGCAGTTCATTTGCCCAGCGACAAATGGTTAGCAGGGACCGCGGAGCAAGGTGAAACGTGGGAGGGCTGACAATTGAAAATTATTTTTTCATATTGAAAATCTAAAAAAGGAATAAAATCATAGTATTTGATTTGTTTCTGTCGCGTGACTTTGCATACTTTATCCAGTATTTGTTGCTCTTTATAGGTCGGCATTAGTGAAGATACCGAAATTCTTCATACGATTTTCATTCCGTCCGGCAAATGTGTTTGCGATCTGAATCACGTCCAAGCTTTCCGTTGATTTCTTATAACAAGTAAGTACTGTCAAGTTGTTGAATCGCTGCTGTTTCATGTTCTTGCCATCGAATATTTCATTGATTCGAAAGGAGAAAGACAAAATATAAAACTTTTATCAACTCAAAATAACTACTCACCTTTGTTTGGCTTGAAAAAGCTAGTAATTTTCTTCATTTCGTCTGATAAAACTGATAAAAAACTTTGCTGGAAGCTGGAAGTACAAAACACGCTGCCGAACGAAGCGAAGGAGTGGCCAAGGCATGGCGTTTGATCAAGGGGTAAGTAGGCCCCAAGGGCACAATTACCGCGAAAAGCACAGGAGCCTCACAAAATGCCTGGCGTTTGAAATTAAAGAAAATACAGAGAATATAGCGGAATATAGACGGAAAAAACTTGTTTCAAGTCTTTTTTTAAATTTTAATTATTTTTCTTTTTACCACAAAAAGTGGGGGCGGGGGCGCAAAAAAGTGGTGGGGCCGCGGCCCTACCAGCCCCTCCCCCCTCCGCGGTCCCTGGTTAGTACATGGATAATTTACTGTAGCAGGAACAATCTCCCAGTGCTTTCAGATGGTTTACGACAAATGGCCAGCAACGAGGAAACTCAACGAGTAAATTTCAACTGGAAATACCACTGGCACTCCGTTAATCTGGATTTGGATTCTTTGGATTTCAAATCCAATGTTCACCGGATCAAGAATCCGGATTTAGATTTGCCGAAAGGAACGCGGAATCCGTTTTAAGATCTAAAATCTGTTTTTGGATTCACCGAAAGGAACACACCCTCAAGATATCCCGGCCGACGGCCCTAGACTCCATCTCCGTCCTGTTACTATCTCTGGGAGGGGTAAATATCACATACGTGGGCCCCAGATTGAATTCGATGAGCTTCATGGCACAATAAAGCCAGTAACAGGACAGAAAATAATTTTGTTACTTTAAAAAAAACTTTATGGAAGACATATTGATCGACTTTAGAATTTAAAACTAAAAGTACTGTAATATAGTTTAAGGTTCTCATTTAAGATTTTTCACAAGAATATATTATTTAATAACGTTGGATTTTTCTTTTAATAAATTGAACTTTTTCAGAAGTCATACTTAAATACATTGGCGATAACAAGCATTTGACCATGTACAATATAAACTTGCAACATAGAAGTAATAAATTATCATCAATATTGTCATCATTATATTAATACCTATTATCTTCTTTCAAAATTTTTCGCCGTTTCTGATAGGCTTTAATCTCCTGACTAATTTTTTGCAACCAGATGGCGCCGAACAAATATGGAAAATGGGGCAATATACAATTGATATGATAATATTTTGTCAGTAATATAAATCGCAACCACATTTCCAGGCAACGGCGCGGCAGATTTGCCGTTTTTGGCACGAGTGCATAACTCAAGAAAATGGGGAGAATTCAGTCATGGCTATCCAAAGACGAAATACAAGATTAGGCAAAGAAAATATTGCTCGATAGATGCAATCTGTTTTTTGAAGCGTAACTGTAAGGATAAAATATCTTGTCATATTCTGAAACTTTGCCAAGAAACAGACAAATGTTGTGAACAAATTAAAGTCTGTGTTAAGAACTTAGAAATATTTTGAGTGAGTTATAAAACAAATATTGTATTCGGGCTTTCGTATGAAATGAAAAATTACGAACTCAGAGGATATTATCAACCTCGATAACACCGACCTGGATCAACAATAAATTAACATAATTTTTGAGAGAATTTGATAAAAGATCAAAGTACTTTCTCTTAGGTGATCAGGATAATAATTCTCATAATCTAATCTCTTGACAATGTATGGATATCGTTAGGAGAAAATTGATGTTTGCCCCATTGGGACTTTTAAAGGTTAACGCCTCGGAGGTCTGTTAGATCATTTACGGTATCTCTCTATTTCCGCATCACAAAATCCTACAGTCGAACTTCCGGTATCGGCACCTCTCTACAACAGCCACTTTTTTCGTCCCGACGGACAAAAAATCCATACATTGAGTCTTGTTAAAATCTCTCTATATTTGCTACCGCTTTACAACGGCCACTTTCTTCTGTCCCCAAGGTGGCCCTTGTAAAGTAGAGAGGTTCAATTGTCCAGTAATCTTTAGCCTGTTTGACTGGCGCTTGCAGGCTGGAGAAGGGAAAGGGCGTAATAGATTAACCAGTAATTTAACCAGTATACTACTACATGAGAAATTTCCTACATGTGAAAATTACAAACCCTTTGCGGGTACTAGTATAAACAAATAATAGCAAAATTTGTACGTAATATTTGGCATAAACACCACTCGTGATATTCCAAAATTGTCTCAAATTTCACTCGCCTAACGTTTCGTGAAATTACGTATAACAATTTTGCAGGAAATTTCATTCGGTGTATTTATGCCAAATATCACTATAAATCAAGCTGTTACCTATACTAATTTTATCTTTTAACAAAGTTATTTGTATTGAAAGTGGTTAAGCGCTCTCCCGAGCGCAATATGATAAAGCTTCTAACATTTCATACCTTGTTGCCGTCGACAGGACATTTTCGCTAAAACCCGTACAATGATAACGACAACTACCTCGTTTTCCTGCCAAAGAAAGCCATGGGAGCGCGCCTTAACTGTGCCTTTCTTTTCCCAACAAACGCCAGCCACGCCTTAACTGTGCCTTTCTTTTCCTCACAAACGCCAGCCACGAATTAAGGCTAACTTATTTTCAACAACAGACGCAATACCCGAAAGCAGCTGGCATCTAATCATCCACTTTCTTAGTCTGGCCTGACTTAAAATCCGCTTGCCATAGTGCCACAAAAAGTTTTACGTTGAGTGCTGTCATAACTGCCATGCCAACCACAGAAAATAAAAAATGGGAAAACGGCAATGTATTGTGGCGTTTGATACAAAAATTTGTCATCCAAGCAGAAGTGAGAAATCTAAAGTTGATAAAAGTTATTAACAGCAATATGCCATTAACTTGGTATAACAGACTGTTCTTGCTCACTCCGCGAAGGCACATTAATCTTCTGAAATGCAGGAAGACGCTGCTCACTTCCATCAATAAAGCACATACTGCAAATCCCAAGTACATCTTGCAGAAGATTGCAATACAAAAGGCACTACATACCTAAAAAAGTAATCACATGTTACGGAAGTTCTATGCCACTGTTAAGAAAAACGTCAACAGGAGAAGGGTGCCTAAATAATATTAGGGGGGTTAGCAACGACAACGGCGACTGCAACGAGAACGTAAAAGCCAATAAGTGTAATCAGCAAAACAAACACGCTTTTTGGTACCTTTCCTTGCCATCCCTGCACGCTGGACTACGACGTGAAACTTCCTAATTTGAAGTTAAATTACATCGCTAAAGCGCAACGCTTTGAAAACGTTCTGCTGTGACGCTTCCTTAAGTGCTAAACATTCGGGCGAATTTTGGGGAAAAATGAAGCCCCTTTTGCTAACTAGTTCTGGTAAGGACGTACAAGGCGTCATCCTCGTTGACGGCAGTAGTGTTTTTTTTCCGAACCTGGGTGTGTAGCCGAAGTCTTTAGTGATTACTTTGCCAATATGGTTCAGTTAGAGCATAGATTTGAGACTGACTACACTGACCATCCTAGTATTAACGCAATAAGGTATCGACGTTTCTCAAGCGAGTTTGACTATTCCCCAGTCAGTACGTCTCATATCCACCTTAATCCGAGAAAGGCAGTTGGGGTAGACGGCATTTCACCACGAATCTTGCGTTTGGGATCCCCAGTTCTTGCCGAAGAGGTGACTAAGTTGATCAACTTCTGTATTCTGAATCGCTCATTGCCGCCTGAATGGAAGTAAGCGCGCCTCACTCTTGTCTTTAAACGGGGCATTGACACAGACAAAGCAAACTACCGCCCTGTCTCAATGTTAACTTCGCTATCGAAGGTGTTTGAGAAAGTTATTTACGACCAAACTTGGAATGCACTTCATACCGTTTTGTGCTCAAACTTATCTGGATTTATGAAAACCCATTCTTGTTGCTCTGCATAGCTAAAAGTGACCAAAGATTGGACGAACAGTATTGATAACAGGGAAGCTGTAGCTGCGGTCGCTGTGGACTTGAGAAAAGCCCTCGCGTTTGACGCCATAAACCACCGCCTTTTGCTCGCAAAATTGAAGGCCTATGGCTTCTGTCCACATGCCTTGAACACAAGGCACAACTACAACGTGAATTTTGAGTTGACGTGAGCACGGGATCAGCGAGGCGATAAATTTTACTCTCTCTCTCTGAACTCGGACGCGATCCCCTCTCTTCAGTTCCAACCCAACTCTCCTACTTTCAAGTGACTTGGTATAAGGGCAAAAAAGTTTCAAAGGACGCGAAGTCTATTTTTCAGCGACGTTTTTATTGGCGTCGCCGTTGTCTGATCGTAAGGTCCCTATTGACGGAATTAAGCAAAACTAACAACGAGAGAACGACTGAACAACAGACAATTTGACTAACAATAAACGACTGTTAAACAGTGACAACAGACGGACAGAAACGCACCAATGACATTACATCACGGCTTTACTGAGACGGCCAATAACATCGCGAGTTAATTGACCAATCAGGTCAATAATCAGAGTTTAATACCATCAACTGATGTGATACAACTCACTTTGACTCTGAAGATGACCACCGCACAGGTTGTCGAAACGTCAGTTACTGTCAACAACAACAGTCCTATTCAGGACTGCGTTCATCCAGACGATCGTACTCAACCTACTTATGAAATGACTCCTGGGTTCAGACCTTTCACACAAGGTAAGTGATTTGAAATAATCGCAACGAAGATTGATAGAACTTGAATCCTTTTTTTAAGCGATGTTTTCGCTGCCGTTCGCTGCTATTAAGGATCCCTTATCTCCAGACATTGGGTGTTGTGAACAGTTTCACCGCTGCCTGCAGTATAATTATGACCCTTGCTAGCAGAGGCGCTCTCTTTGATAACTCAATAGTGATAGGAAAAAGAAGAAAAAATTAGAAACAAAGAAGGAAAGACAGAAAGAAAGAAAGAAAGAAAGAAAGAAAGAAAGAAAGAAAGAAAGAAAGAAAGAAAGAAAGAAAGAAAGAAAGAAAGAAAGAAAGAAAGAAAGGAAGTAGTTTAATTAACTAATAGACAACACTCCTGTACGGTCTACAGTCTAATAAACCATTGAAATAAAGCCAAATGTTCAAACTCAAGTGCATTATTAGATGGCCAATTGTTGACCATTGTTATGTGCAGCTCTGACAATGGTGGGCGGTGAGTGCTCTAACCTTAACACCATACCCTTGCTACCAAATGCAAGCACAAGCAACTTTGCTCTAAATAGTACAAAGCATGTTATATGGTCGGCAGATAAGAGCCTGCGGAAACTAATCCTTCTGGTCCCGACAGCCAAGAAACAGTGTTATTTAATCAACAAAAGATGACTTGAAAAATAATAACTGAATTCTATTAATAACTGTACTGACCACAATATGGTGAATGAGAAGGTCAATTGAATCCCTGGCATCATAAACAAGCATATCAAAGAAATCATGGAGAAAATAGCCTGAAATGAAAGGAGAAAAAAGGAATTAAATACTGCGGCAATAAAAGACTGTTTCTAAAGACCATACAAGTTCATCACCATGAATAGCCTGATTCTTAAACATCCGAGGTCATTCGCGGTCCCTTCGCTTCATGCTACACCATGAACTGTCCTGTTACAAGGGGCACCCAACGACAACTTTCGGAAAAATATCTGTTCGGAAGACGATTTGAGAACTAGAATTTTCGGAACATTTGTTGTAAAATTTCTTGCTTGCCTGCCTCTCCTAGGATTTTCGAACATCTAAAAAATGGTATAATTGCCTATTTTTAACGGATTTTTACCCTAAAAAGGTCACCTAGAATTTTCGGGAGCCTTTTTCCTGGCTGAAATTTCCGAAAAGGTAAGTTTTGATCCCTATAATTTTCGGATCACTAGACTTTCAGCTAGGAAATCCGAACAGATGAAAAATTTTTAGGGGATAAAAATATGCCTATATATACCGTTTAAATACTAAAATACGTTTAACAATTCTATGTTTAAGTGGTTTTGAACTATATTCTCGTTGGGTGCCCCTGTGTTATTATTGTCAAGTGGTACAGCACAGCAATACAGTATCATAGATGAAATGTAGACATAGTTTGCTGCTTATAACATAAGGAAATGAATGAACTCAATTTCTTCAGGCATGCATTTTTTTAATCAACTTAACAGAACTTTCGCCCATTCTACTCCATTAACGACACAAAATGAAACAAGGTCACGGCTTAGGTCTAGATGAACTAAACTATGTGAAACTAGTCACTGTATTTGATCAGCCCATGAACACTTGAGGTGGTGCTTTTGTTCACATTAATGCTGTAAAAGTCTATTGCTCCTCAATAATATGTTATGTTTTTGGCTTTATGATATAGTCACTGTAACTTATCACCCCATGTAAGCCTTGATTTGGTGGTTTTGTTCACATGAAGGAACAAAGGTCTATCGCGCCTCAAATGTTTATCATGTCTTGGCTTAGTTATCTTTACTTTATCATGTGTTCAACTGGTCATTAAGTGTGGCAGAGTGTAAAAGGACAGTACACTGTCAACATTATTTTTTTGATCTATAGAGCAGGTCATAAAAAGATTGTTATGTACAATAAGGTTGCAAGATGTGGATCTGCTGAAGCAATTGTCATGCACTTCACAAAGAGGCAAAAATATTTGAAAATAGATGGGGCAGGTGGTCTTACATCCTTATCCAAGAACACAAGATAATTGTTATTATTAAAAACTGAATCATTTGATAATGTAATTCTAGAGCTCTGATTGGCTTAGCCATCATGGTATATGAGCCATTATACCATGCTCTCCAAATATGGTAACTGTACGTGTCTGCTCAAAATTAAAACAAGCTGAAAAACTGGTTGTTTTTACAAATAAAGTTGGGAAGAATTCTCGATATTTTGTGGGCGTTTTTAAAAAAACAATTAGTCCACTCGCACTTGTTGGATATGAGATGATTATAGCCAACTCATATCAAATGTGCACTTGTGGAAAAATTGTTAAATGTTACATTAGGTGATCTAAATGTCAATCACTGACACCCAGATGGTTGTCATTACTGTGCTCTTGCGTTTGATGACTGATGTACATTATATACAACATACCAGTGGACATTGATACCAAAATAAAAGATGTACTGCTCCATGTTTTGATCATGTCTGTCAGCATGGCTGGCTCATCAAAGAAGCTGGTGTGCATAAAGAAGTATTTAAAAAGGTTACTTTAATAAAACATGAGTATATCAACCACTTGAAAATGAACCTTAGAGATCCCATATCAACTGAAATTTGGTGGATTTCTACAAGCAAACAACATTAATTTAAAAGTATAGGGCCAAATATTTAAACGTAGTTTAGCCAGAGTTTAACAAAACTGCATTCTAAGTCATTTTCAATTTGCCCAACAATTTTACCTAAACATCATTTATGGTGAACAGTTTTATGAAAGCACAGAGAGAAGACTAGAAAAACTTTTAGCTTCTTAAAATAACCCACCAACGACTGAGATCTGGAGGTTCAAAGATTCGTTAAACCGCGGCTAAAGTTAGACTTCGTTTAAATACTTGGCCCATAGGGTTTATAACGACACACACAAATCTTTGCATAAGGTGCAAAGATGTTTGTCACTGCATAAGCCTGCAATAATCAAATTACTTAAGATGGGCCAGCCCTCTGGTCCTGGGGTGGATCCAGGGATGGTTCGGGTGGTTCTTTTGAACCCCCTAACCCAAAATGAAAACGTTCAAACACGCGCAGTTTCTGATGAAAACCTTTGGTTGACATATATTGCTAACAAATACTATATGTTATCTTTTGAAAAATAACTGTGATGAAAAGAAAAAAAGATTGACAGAGGAGAGTCCTTTCCTGGTTTTAAATGCCCTGTTGATTCCATTTTTGAAGAAAATCAAGAGTGATTTTTAGAGCACATAGTAAATACAAATTTATTACCGTTATTTCAGATTTATTTTCATTATTGGTCTCAATTACTGTACATTTTTAAGAGTAGTTCATGTTTAAAATAGCTAAAGAAGGGGTTGTTTTATTATCCTTTAAAATGCAGGAAATCACCATTCTGAGGACCTGGATGTCAAAATTTTTCCGGGGGAGCATGCCCCTCGACCCCCCTAGGATGGTACTCTCTTGGTGAACATTTATCCTAACGCTCTTTCCACTAAATCCTGGATCCATCCCAGGCCCTACCTTCAAAAGTGGGGGCAATTAATTAAAAGGAGAGCAGTATAATAGTCAGCTGCACGTGCAATCCTACCCTTTAAAGGGTTTTTGTTAGACACAAAAACTAAATGCAAAGAAGATCATTCATTGCAGTTACAGAAGCAACTTATGCAGTTGCAAAAAGAAAGTGTGAAAAATTCAGGATTAATTGCCAGGATTCAAACACTGAGTCCTATCTGCGATATCGGTGCAGCGCCACACTAACCAAACCAACTGCAAGCTGGTCATTAAATTGGGTGCAAGTCCCAGCAAAATAATGTTATTATTTGACTTATTTCTCATTTCTTTTTCTTTTTACTACTGTTTTCCCATTTTCCAAACTCTACAAGCTGGTTCCATGAAACAAGTACTTTTAGCTTACAATTTATTTACAACCATATACTTAGTTCATTCACGAAGGTTTTGAATCACTGTGAATGTTAGAAAAATACATATATAAAAAATTGATAAAATAAAAAAATACTAATTTAACTTAAATAAAAATAAATAAATAAATAAATAAATAACACACAAGGAGAAAAAAACTCAGTGAGTGGTACAAAGGAAAACAACTAGGTGCTGATTTGAAAGCATCCATGCTGTGTTTGGTAAAGAAATTGAACAGTAACTTCCAATGTTACAGCAACAGCAGTGATATTTTTATTATTACCATTGTTATAACAATGACCATTATTATCATTAACACTTACATTAAATTTAACTGCAGGACAGTACTGTTTCAGCCTATTATATTACTATTTTCTCATTACACGTAATAAAGGTGACGTTGAACATTTACTGATATATTAAAATAAAGAGAATGTGGAAAAATAGGTGCTACTAGGATTCTGAGGAAATTTGATTGTGCATGTCGATTATCCATGTGCGAGCGTGATCGTGTGACCATAGATACATATATTAACGGTCAATTTAACGCACAACAGGCCTAGGGCAACAGAGTGAGTTCTATCCTATTCTATATATTCCAGTTATTCGCAATATCCTACCTGTACAATGACAAGAAAGCTGCAATGCAAGCATGGATAAAAGAAATGACGATATTCCTGTAAATCCATATCTTTTTCGGGGGAGCCGAGGCGATCGAAGTAGGAAGACCAGTTATTCGCAATATCCTACCTGTACAATGACAAGAAAGCTGCAATGCAAGCATGGATAAAAGAAATGACGATATTCCTGTAAATCCATATCTTTTTCGGGGGAGCCGAGGCGATCGAAGTAGGAAGTGGTCCAAAACGACACACAAAGTAATGCAGGACTCGAAAACATACGAAGAATCCAAGAATTTCGAAGGAACCACGGGGCAATAGGCTAACTTCTAACATAGCTAATTTCAGCCAAAGTAAATGGAAAAGGTTAACAAGATCGGTTATGCAATACTGTCAGGTGTCAGGATGATCGCTTTAATCTTTAATTTGCGGTCTTGCATGTTCAGCGGGTAGGTACTTGATGTATGGAGACATATATTGTACCGACTATACTTTTATAAGTTATATCTTCACTTCTTTTGCTTGGTTCGTTGTTACTACCTCGTTGCCTTTCCCTTGTTACTCTGTTACCGTAAAATTCCGAAAATAAACCCCGGGGCTTGTATTTTTCAAAGGCCGTTTTTGAGGGGCTTATTTTTGGAGGGGCTTATCTACGGAGGGAAATTTGCGTTTCAAAATCGATTGGGCTAGCCTTATAGTTGAAAGTAAATTTACCGTTTTTCCTTTGTTTTACTTTGTATTTGAGGGCAATTTTCCAAGTACAAGCCCCCGGGGGGCTTATATTTGGAGGAGCTATTTAACGGAGGGTTATTTTTGCGTCAGTTACCAGTTTAATTTGGGGTGCTTATATTCGGAGGGGCTTGTACAACCTTGTTACTCTGTTTCCTTGTTACCTTGTTGCTTTGTTCCCTTGTTACTCTCTGTTACCTTGGGGTCTTGTTACCTTGTTACTCTGTTTCCTTGTTACTCTTGTTACCTTGTTACTCTGTTTCCTTGTTACTCTGTTTCCTTGTTACTCTGTTACCTTGTTGCTCTGTTCCCTTGTTACTCTGTTCCCTTGTTACTCTGTTCCCTTGTTACCTTGTTACTCTGTTACCGGTAAATCGAGGTTCCACTGTAGCTAAAGCTGTTGGGAGTTCGGCAAATTTTGATGAAGATATGACCGTTGCAGTTGTAACAGCCTGTTGAAACTTAGCAAATTGGTCTGCTCCCAGCGACAGAGAATTGTCCATAGCTCCTCTCCATATACTAAACGTTACTTGAGCTGTACAATACACAGTGGTGCAAAACGAAGGCATCTGCTGCATGGTCACCAGGACAGGGTCATGTTCACGCCAGCTTGTGTGCATCCTCCTCTGCCATCCCCCTCTCCACCACCACCCCTCCGCAAAATAAAATTAAAAAATGAGGCAGAAAGTTTTTTTTTATAGTTGGCTGATATCGTGCAACTGTCATATGACGTAATATAGCTTGAGAAAATAAAATAGCAGTCAATTAAGTTCATTTGAACCTTCAAAAACTTCCACGCGAATGGCGTGGAAGTATTGTAAGGTATTTCAATCTAGCCCGGTAGTTTGAGTCTGTAGACGATCTGGTCCTGTCTGATAAAAACAAATAAAAACTGCCCAAAACGCTATTTATAAGTCGAGTACTTTGCGCTCTTCTGTTTCTCATACTTGATATCAAAATAATACTAACATACTTAACATCAGCTTCCGAAGTTTAGGCATTCGCAGTAAGAAATATTATATTTCGCTTTCACTGCACCCCTCTCCTTTAACTTTTCTTTGTCCATGTTTTTCCTTTTGCTGGACATTAAGTGGGCTCTATTTCGGTGGAAACTCGATTTTGGGAGAATGTTTAGAATCGTAGGATCGGCTGGAATGAAGTGCAGAGGGTGTATGACCGTTCAGACAGATGACGTCACAGCAGTAGAAGGATCCGGCGGCCTATACTCACGGGCGGTTCCTAGAGAGGTGAATGGGAATATTAATGACTCATTTCATAGGTTAGTTCCCAGTATAACTTCCTGTTTTTCCGAGAAAAATTTTTAACAATAACTTTTCTCAGAAAAAGATACAGGAATTAAAGCTATACTGGGAACTTATTTAATGAGTCCTTTAAAAAGTTAGTTAAAAGGCCTTAAGCGTGTTGGGGGCCGCTTTTGGCTGCTGAATGACGCCAAATTATGGCAGAACTCGCAGAAACGTTGGACAGTCTCCATATAGGACATCAGAGGCGCCTTCAACTAGTTGTGGTTGCATCAACACTTATGCAAAATACTGATCCCGAATGTGTGATTGCTTGGAGTGTTCAAGAACAAGGGCTCATCCGACCCATAACAAACTTGGTAACAAACAGTTGGATCTTTGGGACTTTTAAAGTTGGCCAAGTATACTGGTTTGTGATTCTCGATTCAAATCCCAGTAAAGCAATCTGGCCAAACAAAAGTGAAGAAATCATTGCTCAAATTAATCCTGTTCCAGTCAGCACTGTTGGTACTCGCCCTGTGCCTGTGCGATATACCGAAAGTCAAATGTACAATATGCTACTTGGTTCGTCTGTGAGGTCAGTTTTTAACGTTTTTGCTCCCGGAGTTATTCATGAAGGAAAATACATCATTGAAGGGACGGAATGCCCTTCAGTTGGGATTCTTCAATGCAATCTGAGAGATATCATGATGTTCAAAAATTCCTTTAACATTGGCTGCGACGAGGTGTTGGATCTTTCAGGTGTTTGACTTTCCTGTGAAAGCACAGAACCAAGATGCCTTATTAAAGAGCTTGAATGGAAGGCCTGCAAACACACCAGTGCTGGTTCTTCTTGGTTTAGGAAGACCGTTTGCTGGCGCCGGCGTTAACGTCTACAATCCACGTCGCTGTTACATACTGGTAATCGGCGTGATCATGCAGGGTGGAGGATGACGGCAAACCACGAGGAAAATAACCTGCGTAGCAAGCGGTTCCTCGCGAGTTCGTCGAGAAAATTGGGACGAGGGCAAAAAAAAAAGTTGTGGTAACCTTTTTCCCATATCTTTACTCATGCCGACGTAGCTAATGCTCAAACTTGGGAGGTATCTTCCCCGAAAAATCCGGTCGAGCCACATTTTAAGCTACCGGATCTGTAAATGATATAGTTATTTGTAATCATCTGTATGGTGGCCGACAACTGCCATTCGTCAAAACGACATAAATTGGTTAATTTTAGATCAAACTTTAATTATTTTGAATTGAAATTGAAGTAAAAGAAAAACGAAAAATTATTTTCTTTTCCATTGAACTGGCAATAGATTCTTTTTTGTTTATTTTCAACACAAAACAAAACAAAACACTTTTATTATGAAATGAAAATAAAAATAAAAGTGAAATAAAAGAAGAAGTAAAATTAATATGTTCACGACCGGGAACTGCCATTCAAAACAGAAAAAGTAAAATTAGTATGCTCATAGCCGGGAACTGCCCTTCAAAACAGAAAAAGCCGGAATTAATATGTTCATGGCCGGGAACTTCCGTTCCAAAAAAAAGAAGACTGACTGTCTCCCGCCAAAAGTCTCAGGTTTCTCTTTTTCTTTTTTGAACGGCAGTTTCCGGCCATGAACATATTAATTTTACTTTTTCTGTTTTGAATGGCAGTTACCGGCCATGAACATACTAGTTTTACTTTTCCTGTTTTTAATGGCCGTGGACATAATAATTTTACTTTTTCTGTTTTGAATAGCAGTTCCCGGCCGTGAACAAATTAGCCTTTTACTTCTGCTTTTATTTAACTTTTATTTTTATTTTCATTTCATAATAAAAATGTTTTGTTTTGTTTTGAAAATTAACGAAATGAATCTATTTCCAGTTCAATGAAAAACTAAATAATTTGACGTTTTACTGTCGCTTTATTTTCAATACAAAATAATTAAAGTTGAATCTAAAATTAACAAATTTATGTCGTTTTGACTAATGGCAATTCGCGGCCACCATACATCTGTCAATTGCTGAGTACTGAAAAACTGTTTCTGAAATAGCTAGTATATTAAAAAAAAAAAAAAAAAAACAACCTTAAAATTTTTCTTAGTTTTCTTATTTTTCCCTAAACAATTTGAGAAAAAAAAAACCATTTTTTACTCTTCAAATAAATATTTTTTTTAAAAAATTATTATTTTTTTTCCATCACCAAATATACAACAACAAAAAAGGGAGA